CATCGCGATTATCCTTTATTTTCTCGAACTCTAATGCTGCTGCGGCTTACTGCAGCTTGGCGTAGTAAACGCGCAGAGCTTGGGGCGCTGTGATCGTGAGATTAGTAACGTTCCGCCAGTATCAGCTTCTTCGGCTGGAAATGACTGGCCATAGTGTCGCTCATCTCCTTTAAAGTCACTTATTCCGGCTGTCCCCCTTGTAGTAACGACTCCATTATTTCGTATTAACTATCACCAATTTCCTGCAAGATTAACCTTAGTTCCGTCTCATCCTTTACGTCTCTTACTACGAGACCCTTGATACGAGGAAGTTACTGGATAGTCGCTACCAATTGCGCCATGGTGTATCTGGCCCATATGCGCCAGGCGCACGTCCCCGGTTCACCTCTACCGAGGTTCCGGGTTCTGCCAACCAGACATTAATCGAAACGGCACTGCCCTTAGACTTGACACCCTAAACAGTTGTCTTCTTCTTTGTTTGCAGGTTCTCGCTTAGAGTCTTTCTTTAGTGCTGTTTCCAGTAGTTGTAAGTCGCTGTCTCCTCTGCTCGTTGTGCTTTTGTAACGATCGCTACTCGTTAGCCTGTAACGAGCCTTGGAGAGGGAATCACTTTATTGTACTCAACCACATGTTTATATAGGACTGATGTTCGTCGCAGTTGCAATAGGGTGCTTTTCCTGCTTGAAAGTGCACGGGATTGAGGCTGAAGGCCAATGACACCTGGGCGCCGTTTCCGTACTCCACCCGCGCTGCTGCAGGGCCGGCCAGCCACACGCCTTAACCTTGAAAGATCACGCTGCTCGTCTGCCCTCTCTCACATGGCGTTGTTTTCTACCTCTCTGTGCGGGATTTTAGTATAAACAGTGGTGTCGCACCTTAAGTATAGCGCGGGCGGGGTCTCTAGCGGCAGCTGGGTATCACTACCTCTCAACCTCATTTCCGCATGCTATGAAGTGACGAGTGTTACCATCTCTGTCAGTCCGTTTCTCTCCCACAGAGTAAGGATCGTCATTGGAGGTGAATGTACAATTTGTCTTCTCAATGCCTGCTTAGACTTGCTTGTTCAGGCAAAACCAGCACCCTGTTTTGAGAACTTCCCGGTTTTCAACAGTAATCATAGTCTACTTTGAGAGTTATGCAACCACGGTGATTGCCCGCTCGCACCTGTGTGAAACACTAGACCTAGCACGACAGTGGGAATTTCCATGTGTTGAGGATTTCTGACCTATATTACTACTACACGACTTCCTTTCAAAGCCTCATAAGCAGTAATCATGCTGGCTTCATTATAACCTTGAACGGGTATGATTTAGATAATTTGTTATGATCAGTGAGTTATTTTATGATACCACAGTGGTGCGTTCAATTATATGGCACATAAAGTGCAGTAAAGATGTTTCGAACTGTTTTTTTTTCACGAATGCTTAGTCACAGTTGAGTTTGTACTTTTCAGCTATTTAAATGAGTTTCGAGTAGAAGCGTGTCCATTGTTCAAGCAGCATCAGTGCCAACAACATCGACCGTATACCTGTTTTAATTGGCATTTCGCTAATCAAAGAAGACGAAGGTTCGCTGGTAGTAATAGATTTATTAGAGTGAAATAGAACAGCTGACTTTTCATGCAGTCAGAACTAACTTAATAATGATTCCATAAAATTTACGATCGATATAAGATTTGATCGTTCATTGAAACTTCCTTTACACAGAAGTATCCTATACGGCCTCCATTTCTATGCCAGCTACACATCCTTTCATCTCATTACAATGTGTTTTACCTCTAATAAAAACTAAAAACTACAAAACAAAAAACTACGGGAACTAGATCAGAGCTGTTTGAAATGTTGAATTATTGCAGTATCTTTGTGATAGATCGTTAAATTTTCATCTTTCTGAGAGGACGTCGTTCTTGACTCTGGAGAAACCAAGGACTGAAAAGGTCTAGAAAGGTTTTCAGGTTTCTGATTCAGTGAAAATACACTTTATAGAGGGGAGCCTTCGAATTCTCGTAGAACTGAGTGGAGTATTCAGTGCGGAATGTTGGATACAAATATGGAAACAATATTACAGCCTGAAACTACCGCGAGTTATGAGCAGTCAAAATTTTCCAGAAATGCAGTGGTGGCGTATGAGCACCCACCGTCGCTAACAGAAGCCGTGGCCTAACAAGGGAAATCGTCCGAGAAATGGTGAGCTTTTTGGAAACAGTTTGTTGCCTGGTGTAAGGATCTATGCAGGGAACACAAG